CGAGTAGCTGTGAAATACTCCCCTACGCGAAATGAATATACCATTTGTGTACCATCGGCAAACTTCTTCAATTTGCAATTTGTTAAACTGTCGAGTATATATTGTAACAAAGAGTACTCTTTGATTGTAAACATCAGGGGGCCCAAACTAGACCCCTGCGGGACCCCTTTTGAAGCTGATAAAAAAACTGATTGAGCCGCTTTAATTTTTACAGACTGACCCCGTCCAGTCAAGTAACTATGAGACAATTTCACTGCTTCACATGACAATACAAGGCTTTCCGGAATATAGAGAGAAGAATGCCGCAATTGACAATAGACAAGCTATACTCATATGGCATTAGAGGCGTGACGCTAAATTTATTGAGATCCTTTATTAGTGATAGGTCACAATATGTTGCAGTTGTGCAACTTTCTTCCTCGGGACAAATTATTGAAGTTGCATCCGAATTAAAACCAATCAAGTATGGTGTACCCCAAGGATCTATCCTTGGTCCTATATTATTTATAATCTGTATTAATGACCTATTTAACTGCTTCGATCCATCTTCATGTGATATCACCACATATGCAGATGACACTAGTGTGAGCGTGGCTTGTGTTGAAGAAGAGTTAGAAATTAATTTAAAACGTGCGTTATCAACTCTTATTAATTGGTTTAATGCAAATAAACTTTTACTCAATTTGGAAAAAACAAAAATTCTTCTTTATAAGAAAAATATGGGTTTGGATATCGCTCCACTGCGTTACCAGTCAGTTCAATTAGAAAGGTGTCAATCCTGTACCTTCTTAGGAGTTATTATAGACACAGAACTTAGTTGGAAAGATCACATTGACCATCTGAGAGCAAAATTACATTCATCGATTTTTGCATTGTCCCGTTGTAAAAATTTATGTGACCATAAAACCCTTTTGCAAATCTACTATTCAATATTTGAAAGTAAGGTGCGGTACGGTATCTCATTATGGGGAAATGCTACTAGTTATAGAATTGCTAGCATATTTAAGGTTCAAAAAAGAGCAATCAGGGTAATGTTTTCGCTACAGAAACGGGAATCCTGCAAACCGTATTTTAAAAACTTTCAGATTGCAACCGTCTATTCATTATATGTGCTTGAATGTTTATGTTTCGTGTTCAAAAACAAAAAATTATTTTCATTAAATTGTGATAACCACTCATATAATACGAGAACGAAAAATAACTTTTCTATAATGAGATCAAAAAGTAAGGTGCATAACTCGTCCTACCTACAGATGGGGGTGAGATTTTATAATGTCCTTCCGGCACATGTCAAATGTATTACAATGTTGGCTCCTTTTAAAAACCAAATTAGAAAAATTCTTCAATCAATGGTGCTATACACACTGGATGATTTCTTTACGAATATCAAAAATGCTAGTCATATTTAAAAAAAAAATATACATATATATAAATAAATTTTAATATATATACCTATTTACATTTCTTTTTTATAGATATATTTATATTATTTATTGTACTTTATTGTGTTTTTTATTTATGTTGTTATTGTGTGACAGTTACACCACATTCGTGGTTGAAATAAATTCTCTCTCTCTCTCTCTGATAGTGCCGAAGGCCTTGATATAGTCTTAACAGTGCCAAGACAGAGATAAGTTTGGAGTCAGTAGCAGTAATAATGTCATCGACAGTATTGAACAAAGCTGTGGCTATAATTCCCCCTAAAACCGGATTGGTGATCAGGAATTATATGTTTTGCGTCAACGTATGCTCATTAATTATTTTTTCTATTACTTTGGTTTGGGCGAGTCTTTGTCAATGGAGTTATGACCAGGCTTCCGTATAAATACTTGTCAAAAGTACCATATTTATAACGTGAGTAAGGTATGGGTTCGATAATAGGACAAAATAGTCTGAATGCTGATATTAATTCCATCGGAACTATAAGTTGTTGACTTGATACCACATATATATATATTCGCAACGGTACTTGTTTCAACAGTAGGGAATTTAAAATAACTCCTGCTAGGCTTTCTTTCGGCTAGCCAACATTTTCGAACAGAGGGCTCAGGTCCGAGAAAACACCATTCACCATTCACCATTGCTGGGTGAATGATTTTTCATTCGCATCCGCATGCCCCGTCCGCACGCACACCAAGGAGGGCCAGAAGGTTTATTTGGCTCAAAAACCAATCATGCTATATTTTCAACAAAAAGTATCATCAATTGCTAGTTAGTCATAGATTATAGCAATATAAGAACAAATTTAATAAATATTTTACGCCCCCACATACAACAAACCGAAATCTCCAATCCGCCGCACAAACCAAAAACCGAATCGTAATTGAATTCTATAAAAGGTTTCGAGTATCAAAAGGATAAATTTTATTCATTTTTAAATGTTTTCGGCACTATTTGCGCTGGCACCGTTGTTTTTTTAGAGACCTCAGTCGTCAATTGACAAGAATTCCTTCAAATAAAGTTACAATCGTCCGGATGTTCCCTTCCCGGACAATTTCCCGAAAGACAATTCCTCGAAAACAGTTGCCCGAAGAACAATTCCCGAAAGGAGAATTAACCGAAAATTGTATTTTATCACAACTTTATAAATTTAATAGTACATCCCATTAGTCTTAATACTATAATAATTAAGATTAACGTCATTTATTGAATCCAGTCAAGCGGTTTAAAAAGAAAGTACAAAACTGATGCTGATTTTGCTTTAAAGCTCCGATTATTGTCAGTCTTAGCATTCATTCCTACTGCAGACGTTGTGGAGGTATTTGAAACCATTATAGTATTAAGACTAATGGGATGTAGGGTCAATTCTCCTTTCGGGCAATTGTTCTTCGGGCAATTGTCCATTCGATCAATTGTGTTTCCGGAAATTGTCCATTCGGGCAATTGTCCATTCGGGAAACTGTTTTCGGGGAATTGTCTTTCGGGAAATTGTTTTCGGGCATTTGTCCTACGTTTACTATCTGGGCGCTTATTATACTAACTCTAAAGCTAAGGGCGAGTATAATTGAGCACGGTGTCCTCAAGATATTGCGTTCGGGCCGTTACTCTTCTGCATATTTTTACAACGTTGTGCCCTTTTTATGCAAGGTTTATTATTCGGTGGATGAATTCATGTTGCACGTATACCCTAATTATAATTGTATGACTTGTCTTATAACCGCATGACAAACTCTTTCGATCGAATTATTAAAAACGCGGCGGTTCGCGAACTTGGGAGGTCCTGCTTCGGTAGACTGGGACAACTGATCTACTTTCTAAATGTAAATTTTTGCTGCATGAATACCCGGTGTTTGTTCCAGTTAAACTAGGAACCCGGGTGGTTTAAACCCTTACTTAATCTATAAAAAGCGCGAATATCAAATTTTGATGTGATCGGCCGCCTTATTAATGTGTTATCTCACATACCTATAGATTGATGGATAACAATTCAAAATTATAAAGAATTTGAAGATAGCAAATAATGTGCATACGCTTAGCTACACCGGCATCCAATGTCCCAGAAGTCAGTTGTCTCGGCGCCCAGTTGCCCCGATCCGTACTTGTAGACCCTCAAACAAATATCGACAATAGGAACAAACACATTTGTGTATCACAAACGTCACAACTCCCGTGATTGAGAATTGTGATATACTTTCCCGAGCAGAATAAATGTTTATTTATAAAATGGGAAGCGAATTTGTTCTTCGGGGACAATTAGAGGGCTACTCGCAGATTCTTTAAACATTATCGACAACTGGAATAAAATAATTTCGTGTATGTATCTAGAATCTCAAATCTGAAACGCTAAATAAATACAGGGTGTTAGTGAATAAGTGCGACAAACTTCAAGGGGTGATTCTGCATGAAAAACTAACGACAGTTTCCTGTACAACTTTTGTCCGCAAATGCTTCGTTTTCCGAGATTTAGGGGGTTAAAGTTTGTCTTCTTTTTGGAATGGGGCGTGGATTTTATGCAAAACGATGAACATAAAAAACAACAAATGCGCTTATATATAAATTGTTTATTCATTCTTGAAAGATGCTGCAAAGAGTGTAGGATTGTTTGAGAGGCATTTCAGGAATTCTTTAAAACTTTCAACATTTATGTTTCCACAATCCCATTTTATACAAATATTTAATTATTAACAATGATTAGTTGGATAATATTTTCGCGAGGCTTTTAACTTGAACGTTTACTTGTCTTAGTTGTATAGTTCTGAGACTATTAGTTGAATGAACTGATGGAGTGATAACTGAAACAGCACGAAATAGAACTTTTTGTCGCTACATTTTCTTTCTTGTGCATCCAAGTGGTAGGTATGTTCCATTTTGTCCCAGTTGAGCTAGGAACCGGCGAGTAGTAACCGCCTTTTTTATGCTATAAACTGCACGAATGCTAAATTTTGATACGGCTCATGAGAGCGTTATCTCACATATGGACCGATGGACAACAATCCAAAACTATAACCGATTTGAATATAATTGATCAAATTACCCATATGCGCCGTTCCATCGTCCAGTTGTCCTGGCACCCAGTTGTCCCAGTGCCCAGTCGTCGACATTTGGGCGCACCCATCAATTGTCCGACTCCGCCAGTAAAGTACTACGTCTGTAAGACCGATTAATCGATTCCAATGTTACTTAACCAAATTCTTATAGAATGGAGGCAGTACAGCTCAATAATTTGATAATAAGGGGGTTGATAATAATTCTTTTTTTAACCAAATTAGTTATTGCATTATCAATACCATGTGACATTATTTTTTCAATTTTCATTTGCGAAGTGACAATTTAATAGAAATTCACAAACGGAACACGCGTGCGCTGAAAATCTGAAAATTGCTTTGGACACGTTCAGATCATACTTGTATGAACAACGTAAACGACAGTCGAAATTTTAACTCCAAAAGAGAAATTAACCTTTTCATTGCCTGTATTTTTAATTAAGAGATAAGGTTTCAATTATGAGTTATGGTACTTTAATGTATAACTTAAACGATCCACATAGAAAAAGAAAAACACATACATCAATTGTTTATTTAAATGCATCCTACCATTAACTATACAACGTAATTCGTTAATTGAACATTGCACATCATTCTACTAATATAAGGTCTATCAGTCTATTTAATTCCATAATTATTACTAAACATTAAAGGCTAGCTCGTATATGAACTACAATAAATAAGCTTAGTTCGTTGTACAAATACCAGAGTGAATCTCAACTAAATTGAAACTAAAGGAGCTTTGGTTTGTACGCACTCGTACAAATAGCAAAAATGGGAAGCTTTCGTCGTTCAGGGACTTAACGGCATTTCATCCTCGTCGCAGGGCACCGTGGAGTGGTTGTACAACCCTTGCGCCATAAGCTGCAAAGCGAGCGGATGTTTCTCCCCCGTCGACTTTTTAATTTTCGCCCTTTTATTTTGAAACCAAATCTTAATCTGCGCCTCATTAAGACCGAGCTCCTGACTTAACTGCTGCCGCCTTTTTTCGGTGAGGTAGCGATTCTCCGTAAACTCGTGCTTCAATCTCGCCAACTGCGCGCCGGAAAACGCGGTACGCGGCCGCTTTTCTTCCACCGCCTTTGTAACCTTTTTCGTGCGACGAGACCTCGGTCCTACAACGAAAAAGGTAATAATTATATTTGTTGGAGTCGTTTAACAAGTTCTATGACAAAGTAACAATTCTCTTTGCATTTCTCACCCGTTAACGTTCGGAAATGGGGTCGACATTTGTCACTAATTAGAGCAATTGTGGTTTAGTTTAGTGAACGGCAAAGGACATTAGGGAGGTAGTAACCCACGTGAAATATGGGTCCTGAAGGGATGTACGTTATTATGACCCTATTTAGTTTCGTGGACAATGAGTTGGTGTTCAGCGCCATAATTGAAGTTAGTTTTTCGAGCGTTTAAAAATAAGGCGCGTTTTAAAGATAGTTTAAAAAACACTTATCGGTGTGTTGACACGAGGACGGATAAATTTTAATACTTTGGTGGCAGATTTATTTTTAAATGTAAGTGCCGAATTGAGCGATAGATGTTGCATAAACTAAAAGCCTGAACATGATTTATCGCCATGTTTTAATATTAGGTGAGAGATTTATTCCTGGTTTGAGTTTTCCACCGAACCCTAATTATATTTCAGTTACCAATGTCAATATTTTTAAATTAGGTATCGTCAAAATACAATCTCGTCCACCCCCAATAAAAGATTTAGTATCTGCGTATGATTTGTACCAGAAATTTCCATTTAAACCCAAAAAAACATTATATCCTAAACTCTCATTTATTGTAATTAGCGGACTGGACTACTTCTATCAAAAGAAGGTGCAAACACATAGCGTGAAGATCAACTGAAATGGACGCTCGAGTAAATGCTCAATGAAGATCGCATCGAAATTATAAAATAGATCTTCTTCAAAAAGTCGTGATCGTATTTTAATTGACGTAGCGTGTTTGTACTTTAATTCTAGTTGAAATAGTGTAGGCATGTTGTGTGAACTTTCTGCTAATGTTACTAATCGCTTCCTTCGTTATTTAGAGACATCAAAATAATGAATCTACCTTAAAACAACAGATTTTGGATAGAAGACACAGAAACTCCTTGTGCGGTTAAGTTATCGAATTAATTGAAATTATATCTTAATCGTGTGGGTGTTAACGACATTCCTACGGGTGGATCTTTTAGCATTAGAACGTTTGCTTACTTTAAAAATATTGTACTAACATATAAAAAAGGTTCTTATCGATTATCGATTATTCGTTCTCATTGTTTTACAAGTATATTTAACATAGGTATAGTAGCTGCATTACTGTGGTCCATATATTTTGCGCGATGTGTTCTATATTTCCAGAAGAATAAGTTTTTGTGCCTTCAATTTCAAAGAAATTTGAAATTTATAATGAGGAATCCCAAATTAACATAACACCCTACTCAAAATGACTTGAATTTCTGCCTGTTTTGTACTGATTTCTTCACCTCACTATAGATCGTTTCTAAATTGAAATATTCACTATCCATTGTTACCTATATCACTGCATTTTGTAAGGAGAGAGATCTTATAAATGAGGTTCTCCATATTAGCCTGTTGTAACATGATAAACAAGCTCAAGACGACTGAGCTTATTATGATTCACTATTTTAGCTTGACCTGATGATGACTAAAAATAGTTGAAATCAGTCGTTTATAGAAAACATTTTAGTTAATTCCTTCTTAATGTTGTTTATTAGGAGAGGAAAATTAAAATTGGTCCAAAAGCACATCGAAAATGCGTAAAACGTATTCTAAACTCTTGAACGTTTATCCACCGAAATGAACCTGTTTAGTCTTAAGTAATTATTTGTTACAACGTTGTGAGTTAATGTTATAACAATAAAGATGTAGAGCCATTGTGTATTAATTGTACTGCACCCAGTAATATGGAATAAACAAGATATCTCAATGGATGTCAAGATGGATTCATCGAACATTACGTCCTTAAGAAAGTTTATGATCATCTAAATGTACATATACAGGGAGTCTATAAAAGAACTCCGGGGTTTAAAAAATTAATATTTTTTAAACTATAAAAGATAGCAAAATTTGATCAATTCCTTTGAAACAAGCAGCTCAAAGAGTTTTACTCATACGAATTGGGAATGTTTCTCTCAACAGTTGGCAGCGCTGCGGAGCGTTGACCGTGAAATGACGTAACGGCTGCGGCAGGCAGTCAGTGTCGTCTGGACTAACTAACTAACGGAGCTCACATTGAACTTTACTAAGTTGTTAAAAAATCTTGAAAATGTAAGCTTTCTAATCATGTATAAAACATGTATGTACGTTTTTTACTGTATTAAAATATTTTGTCTTAAAACCCCGGAGTTCTTTTATAGATACCCTGTATTTCAAAAAGTTAGTTTATAAGACCGTTAACAACAGTCATTTCCTCTAAGAGTCTTAATTTCTAGGCTTCTTTGAAATCTTATAAGGAAAAGCCTTTGATCCTTAAGGAGCATTAATGAGTATCCTGTGCCTAGTAGCTTTTAAGGGTTTCTAGGAGTCGCTAAGAGTATTATATATATTGTGGGACCTTTACGAAACGATTAGTTGAAAACCATAGGTTTGAGGCTTGAAGAAGTTACGTAGGCCTTAAGGTTCTTAAGAGTCGCACATAATCTCAAAGAGCATTCAAGTGTCTTCGGGGGCTTCCTAGAGTCTTTTAGATTGGATTTTACAAGCACTTAGAAGTTTTTGCAAGCCTCTAACAGTCTTTGGGGTAAACGGTTTCTTGCAAAACCTTTGAGAATCAAAAATGCGCAAAAAGTAAATCTCAGTTCACATTAAAGCTTATTTTTAAATTCATTATACAGGGCGCAATATACCATCATGTAAAACAAATGCATTTTTCAAATAAAACAAAAATTCATTCTTTCTTCTGTTATAGTTACGTAAAAAATTAAAGAAGAAACACAAATTTTAGGTCATATAGTCCCCAGAGGAAACATTTTGGACCACTGGTTTATTTAGGCAAAATGTAGGTATATGTTTTGGTTATACTTGTATGTGTGAGGCACTCTTTTTCTAGCAGCGGCGAACTTTAATTCCGCGATTGCTTTTCCTGATGTACTTAATCGAAAAATGATACTGCAGAACTAAAAGCAGTTGTTCACCTGTTCGACTGCATTTTTTCCCTTGAGTTAACTACTTTAAATGGGAGAGAAAGGCCTCCTATAGATATTTTCATTGGATTTAAAACGTATTTCCAGCAACTGAACTTTTGGTATGTTCATTACAGGGGCATAGAACTTGGGATTGGCGTGTAGATCAGCACAAAATGAAAAATACAGACATTTATGATGATAGGTGGGTAATCCATTTTGAGAATCGTATTGTTATATAACATCTCCGTTTTTGGAAATTATAAGTTTGGGCAACCTTTTTAGTTTTTATAATAATAATTTTTAAGAAAATGCCTTGGCAGCAAGTGACCAAAATGTTGTAATACTGCCAAAGTCTATTAAACCGCCCATTTCTACCAGAAAAATATGAAAACTTAAAGAGTTGACCCAAAGGTTCTTTCATTAGAAAATCCAAGAACATTTTTGATAATCAAAATAATAGAGAAACTCCTGGTTTATTTCTCAGATTTCATTTTACACCCCTGGAAACGGTGAGAGTACCTATGAATCTAAAAATAAGAGAGGAAAGGTAGAAGAAATCACGTAATCAGGAAATAATCACATAAGTTCTATAAATATCTGCCTCTAATAGAAATAATAAAAATACACTTCCCTGTTTTAAATACGTCATAATTCCTCAAATGCATCCTTCAATGTACATTACGCTCCGTGTTGATTAAATTAGTAAATGACAAGGAGTCAATGAAATCGATAAAAATTAGGTACATCATAATTCAGTTGCAATGCAAACTAGAAGCTCGCCTTTTTTGAAATTCTAATTTCGCTAATGCCATTTTAATTTTTCCCGTAGCAAATAAGGAAGCCGCGGCCGATTATCTATATTCAATAAATTATACTCTAGAATGTGCCGCCAAAAGGAAGTAATTTATTAATGAATATCTATTTAGGTTAATTGGCGATTTAAAACTCCAATGTATTACCTACCTACTTAAAAAATTATAAAGTACCTGTAACATTTATTGATTTAAACAAGGAAAATATCAATTACTTATACACAAAGAAAGGTATATAATTTTATTTAATGATTTTGTAAGCGGGTAAGAACTCATTTATTAGATCGTTTTTTATCCGCCAAAAAAGTTTTATCTATCACAAAAGAATTCCAAATAAGGGTGCAACTCCTTCATATAAAATGCGACATTAAACAAAAGAAATAGAAATAAAACTGCCGTCAGGTTTTATCAGATTATATCAGCATACAGTAGCCTGGTAACTAATTGCTTGGAAAAATGTCAACTCTTAAAACAATAGGGCCCTTTTGTGATTGATAAACGTCATTATTGTGAAAAATATGAGCTTTTAGTATTATATTTTCAAACGTGTAGTGTTGACGTGACTATATATTTTAGATTTTTGTGTTGACGTTTCGCTGATCCTTCACCGATTGTTAACCATTCCTTTTTCTTCGGTGTGTAAACGTAGTCTACCCATAGCTATGAATTGGTAACTGAGTATTCAATCTGACCAATTAATTCTGAACGGAAGAAATCGAATCAAAGTATGCAAATTAGGTATACTTTAAACTGCAAGTTTATTTCTTACTGCATGGGCTGTGATATTCTATCCCTAAATGTCTTTTACTTTAGAAGAAGACGGCGTCGAATTTTAAAGGTGGCAATGTAGTTTGATTTGAAGTTGCTATATTTTATAATATGAGAGGACCGGTCAATATTTAATTATCTCTCTGTGCATGGTACCTAGAACTTTAATATTATAATCATAGCAAAAGAGGTATATACAGAACATGTCCGGTTATGTAAAAATAAATTAGATTCCCTCTTCATTATTATGTGAAAAGAACGGTTCTCCTATCACCAACCACTTCAAATAATCACATAATAACATATCCAGTCAATTTTCAAAAGAAACCTACATAATTATCTATCAATTTTCAATGTAATGCTTACAATGTATATTTCATTAAACTGGATTTGATTTGAAATATTTGTTATTTTAAGTTATATAACGCAAACCTTTTTTCCCATTTCAACGTCATAACCTAAATTTCCCACTATAGGCATTGTTAAAATCTATGTAGAATTTGGTTCTTTAAAAACTTCATTTATCAGGATTTCAGAATCATATTTACTGCACCGTATTATGACGAAACACACTTCTGCCCTCCAATGTACTTTGTCTTCTATTTGAAAGTGTCTATTTTTATGCCGGAAGGATTAAACGATAAATGATTAAATGAGAGAACAAAAGTGAGAGTCAACAATGAAATGTCAAACACAATTAAATAAATTGTCACCTTCAAATGCACATTCTATACTTCCTTGAACAGCCATTGTGCCGTTTTTCGTATATTTTTGTGGAAAGGTTTCCTCTTCCGTTTCGGTTCCATTTCTACACCAGTCGTTTTGCACAAAAATCTTATATAACATCTGACCATAAATAGCATATTTCATCTAATTACCATGTTAATTGTGCCCTTGTTTAAAAATTATAAATGTTACAGGCCAATTTGTGGAGAAGTTGGCATGTTTTGATTCTTAGACCTACTTAAAAACCGCATGAAGCGTTTTTTAGTATTGCAGATGTGCACGTCTTATAAGTCTTCCAAGATAGCGGGTCAAATTGGGTCGGTGGTTCGCTTCTATCGAGTCCGAGTATCAAAATGGGTACCTATAGTGGGCCCCCTCCTTCTCCATTATTGACATAGAGAAATTCATTTACATACTTTTATTGAAATGAAGCCTAAAATATATGGATTAGGAAATATTCAGCCTGTGATGTACCAGAAACGTCAAACGACAAGGTTATTTGCAAAAAAAAACGATATTTTGCATTATTTAGTATGGGCAATACATATAACGTTTTCTACAGATAACCTGCACGTTAAGTTTAACGTTAGTGATACATCACAGGCTGCGGATCCAATCTGATCACGGATTAATTACAAAATTTGCTGGGGCCAACACCACATGCCCATATGCGTTTCTGTCTTCAGCTCTTCCTTTGTCTAAGAGTATGTATCTACCAAATTCGGTTCCAATCGGTTCAGCCGTTTAGACGGAAATGAGAGTACAGACCGACAGACAGACCGATATCATCGAGATTTTGTTTGATTCGCATCCTGGTGCTTTAAAACATGTATTTCTATCAAAAAGTGGGTGGTCATTTCTACCTTAATTCAATACCTCCCTTATTAACGTGCGAGTGGTAAAAAATTCAAGAGACAGTATTCCGACGCACGCTCATCTAAAGCAATGTCACCAGAAACTACGTTTTGGATAGAGCACGTTGAGAAACGAAAATATGGGCTTGGAAGGAAATCTCAAAAACCAAATTTGACACTCTAAGAAAAAAAAGTTATCTACTATAATTTTATACGTCCATAAAATATGGAAAGGGGGAAAGAACATCTATTGCTACTAGAAAAACTCAAAGCAACATAGCAGACCAGGAAAAGTGAAAGGAAGAAACACAAGAAGAGAATAAAAATACGTTTTAGAGACGAAGTAGTCTCAAGAATTTAAAGAAAGTTTGTTACATGTTTCAAACTTTTTAGATATGGCATCGGAAAGAAAAGCAAAATCACATATTTAATACTCGACTCAACAAGTGCAGTAATACTTAGCACCAGGACCAACAAGTTTAATGTACGGACCGGACCGAGGATCGGTTCGAAATCGGTCCGGTGTTCGGCTCGGTACGGTCCAAAGACCACCCACCGAGAAAAAAGTTCAGGGGTAGAAAATGGAACGTGTCCTGTAGATTTTCACTAGGTATATCATTGACATGACCAATGATGTTCAGCGTTAACTTATACCTAGTTTTAAATATCAGTAAAACTGCGGAGAAAAAACTTAAAAAAGCTTAAATTTAACACCTAGGTTAACACCCTATAAATTGGCAACGAAGCGTTTGCGGACCTATGTTTATATGAATTTTAGTGATTAAATAAGCCAAACAATTAGCCCCTTCCGTTTCCGTATTTACTATTTACATCATATTTAGAAACACCCTGTATAATTTTCGCAAATGTATTTTGGAGAAATAGGTACTGAGATTAGACATGATTATAATTAATAAGAAAATTCTCGCCACCCTCCGCTCTACGTAGGGCGTTTAAGAATGTACCTATATCTATACCTAGGTACTGATGCGGCATCTGATATTTGTGAGCTTTGTTTACCCCGCTAAAATCGACAAGGTAAAATAGCGGGTATTTCAATAAAATAAATTGAATGTGAGCTTCCTTTGTGTTAAACGGGTAGTGCGAATGGCGAATTAATACTTCACCATGATGAGTATCTTTTTCGAAGGAGAGTCATTGTGGAACACGTTTACGTTGTGCAGCTCTAGAAAAGATTCAATGAATTTGACACAAAATTATAACGTGCTTTTGGTTCATAGAGGCCTTTATACTAATGATGCCTTTGTTTTAGTAATTAGTCTAATCTTATATGTATATGTTATAGCATTGAATAAAGTTTTATTCAATGGTTTATAGTTTCAAGTAAAAGTAGGTATAATACTTTGAATAATTACCTGCACTTAATCTTCCAAACTATTAAGTCGAATGATCCGTATGAAACTCAAAACAGTTAAGTATTAGGTGATGGAGCGCAAGTACTTTCTTTTAGGTATATATAGGATCCAAAGGCCATCTCAGTCTCACGCGAGAACCGCAGTTATGGAACAAATTGAAAATGGAAGCATTCTATTTAACATAACAAATAAGGTATAACCTGTAAAATAAAACTAAGCATGAACACGTTCTACGTGCAATAAAGAGCATATAATTTTCATATCAATGACAATAGTTTAATAAGCGCTTCCGTAACCTGCGGTTTATAATGTACCTATACAAACAGTTCAGATCGTTCTCCTGCAATTAATTAATACACCATTTATTGGTAATTGTAACATATACGCATGAAATGTTAATGGATTTAATTATCGAAGCCAAAATTAAATAATCCTTGCCGGTTTGGATCGGATTTTAAACGTACTACCCGCGGACACGCAGAATGCATGACGTAGCGCCACCTCTTGGTACAATTGGCTAATTTTATTCAGAATTCAATTACGAATAAAATTAAATTTTTCAGTAATTAAGGATCGAAAATTATATACCAACCCTTTCATCTATCGCACAACCTCAAAATTACAATGCATTACCACCTAGTAATAAGGGCGCGAAGTTGTCCGACGGTATCCGTCCTTTTCGTACAATATCATCAACTGTTTCATTAGGGATAATGAGGAACCGTTTAATTAGACGTTATAGAAAATAATTTAATCGACAGGTGGAAGAGGTTATAAAAAAAGATTACCTGAGCTGGGTCTGTCCGAGTATCTGGTGCAATAAACCCAAGCCGGCCATAAGGTAGGCAACTTGCTGTCTTCGTGTTTGGTTTCATCTTGGCTTTGGCTCTTAGTTGGCGGCGGACTTTTGGGCTTGACGGGTATCTCGACCCGAGGGTGAGTTTTGCCGATTTGCGAGACCGTCTGACATAAGCTCCCCAATGGCGCGACTTTCCTTTCCGTTTTCTCGTAGGGTTTAAAGTGGATCTTGCCGGAGTTTGTTTTTTGTAGAGCGTTTCTGCCAAAATCCGGTTGGAGGATGTTTCGAATCGAGTATTTTAAATGCTGTATTGTGGGCTCGGGTTGTTCCTTTGTACGTTTTTCTGATTTTCGATTATAATCGTAGCTTGGACTAGATAAGGCGTAGGAAGTAATGCGAAAGAATGGTTTTTCGGTTTCGGCATTTTGATTTGTTGGTTTTAAACGTGCGTTATCGTTGATGTGAGGGATTGTTGTGCAGGTGTAAGGGGAAGTGCGTGTTGACTCCGGCGAATTAGGGGAGTTTAAGGAATTGTCGCTATTCGGACTGATTGCGGCTGCATTTGGACTGAATCGATCTTCTAAAGCCATTTTTCTTTTAGATCACTTACATGCGATGTCTCTATGAGGACGCAAATCAATGGAAAACACGCGCACTCACTATAATACCTTTACACACTCTATAAGCAAAACACTTCCATCAAGTGCTTTCTTGTCTAAGTACGCTGTCAAACTGAGTGAGTTTTCAAAATAGTCATCTTTATTACTTTAAGTCCAATGAAAGGCCCCGCCTTCATATACCTACATTTTCTTTCTCTTTCGTAGCACATGTAGCGGATAACATCCATCCTTTACGTATCCTTGGCATTATCCCTATGTAAACTTATTTTGCCTGTCCGAACTGTAATCATGTCAATCTTAACGCTTTTCAATTAAAAACCGGCCGACATTCCCGATCCGCTCAGAAATTAAAAAAGAAACTACGAATTAAATCAAGGGTTAATTAAAACAGAATTATGTAGGTACCTACAATTATACCCTTTTTTTCAAATCGATTTATTAAGGGTTGCCGTTGTCCTTTTCTCACTAACGGGTTTAGATACACTGTTGGGAACACTACATCTCACTTAGAGCTTTATTTTTTGCTGGAAGCTTTGTAGGCGGGCAAGCATTTTGTGATTGGACGTAAAAATTTGGAGGGGATTTAAGCGCCAGATTGAGACGTAAATATGTTTGTTTTTTCTTGATCCTAAGGCGGAGTCTGCATGTAAACGATGTAATTCAATATTCCTTTACACGTCGTATGTACCTACCTTTACATAATGGATTTATCAGTTTTAATTTGATTAGTTCTGATTTTGACTTTTTTCACATTTCAATTCGCAACAATTTTGGAACTGAATTGGTTTTTTTGCAGTCACTTTAATATTTTGATGTAAAAATACACCCACATGCAATTCAATTTATGTTACCTACTTACATTTAATCAATGGTAATCCTTTGATATGAATAACTAGCATTGTATCGACTAAGTAGTAGTTAATTTTATTAATACCATTGCATGAAAGGAGTTCTTTAATGACAGTTTTATGACTTGCAATGCATATTGTAGGTATATATGTAAATATTATTCTCGTACTTTAAAAGCACGGTAGGTATAAGGGGTAATTACCATATAAAGTTATGGCTCATGGAGCTAATCGGCAAAAACGAAAATCTTCCGACTGCAACTTGAGGGATTATTTTATTAGGCATAATCCAACATTTTATGCGTGTAACGACCTTTTCTATGATAGGTACCTAATTGCCGGAGATGTTTTTCCTTCTCGAAGACATCCGGCACCCAAAGTAACTGTATCATTTCAGGGAATGCCAAAATAAAAAGGAGCAATATCAAATAATATCTATACCTACCTAGCTACCTACCTATTCATTATCTTTATATTAAATGGAAAAGTGAAACAATTCGCAAGGAGATTCCATATAGGTATGTACGAAAGCTCGGCGTAATTGCTTCTTACTACTACTTGCAACTTATAGTAAAGGAGGTTTGTCTTATTTTTAGGGGAATTTTTCGAAAGACATTCTCCTTCTGTGATGGTTTTGTCCGTCCGTCTGTGGTCTGTCTGCCTGTTCCTTGTCTAACTCAAGAATGAAAAGAGATAGCGATGTCAACCTTCGCCAATCGATATCTAAGCTGAGTTGAAGGATCAGTGCTATTGAATATAAATTAGAAGTTGTTACCGAATACGAGCTGATGAGTATAAATAATTCCCGTAGAACCTATAGGTACCTACCTACTGAAAATTGTACCTAATGTGACCGCAGTAGGTACACTGAGAAAAATAATTTTTACTTTTAAGTAGGTACCTACCTTTTGCGATTTTTCCATTAATTTTAAAAATTTATACGTTTCATTGTATGCAATAATCCTAATTATCATATTTTTAACATTTTTGAATAATTGTTATCTTATACAAGAAGGTAATTTTACCAAGGTTGATTTTTTTCAGTGTGTGTACTACCTACCGACTGTATACCGACCTAGGTTTTAGTTGGGCTTAATTCCATCACACACATACCTAACTTCGGAATTGTAATTGTGTAAATGGAAACCTTGTAGATTATTTTATTTTTATTTTATAGTGATCGGAGTGTTAGCAATTGGCTACTCTTCCCACTCAACCCACTATACAATCACAAACAGCCATGTCTTATCTGGGAAACGAACCCAGGATATAAGTACAGATATATAGGTAAACTGTGTGGCGCGATCATAAGCGTTTGCTATATACCTAGGCATGACTCATATAAACGCAGGACTTATTCAAATAAGGGAAATTAATAACATTTTACCTATTTTACACTAGATTTGTTGAATTAAAAATTTTGGTTTAGTAGGTATAGGTACCTATACTAGGTACGGTATTTTAACAATTAAAAAAATTACAAAAATAAAAACTCTTCCGATAGAAACAATGTTTCCCTGCATCCGATTCGAGACCAACCTACATACTTCATGGGTATATATCGTTGGATACGTCTGGCTTATTCAAGAAAACCTTGTGGTTCGATTGGAAACACTTTCGCCACTTATAAAAGTACTGATATTGGTGTTGGAATAAAGACCTAAGGAGAAGACTTATAAAAAGGAACAATACCATAACAAAGCACCAACTTTATTCATCGGCAAGCTAAAGCCATATGGTAAATACAACCAAGAAAAAATCAGGGGCCAAATCAGTGGTCTCTACAAAACAATCGCGTATGTATATCTTTTCTTAGTGCAACATTATACGATGCCAGTAGAGAGCAGTGGTGTATTAGGGTCGGAACAACGTTTCGGTACCTTTTTGCATACGGAACGCAATTCCAGTAAAAATTATACTGACCATCCACTGGCGCCACTATCTTTGATGATGAACTCCCATGCCTGCAACCAAAATATTTATGCCATACTTCCATAAAAATTACCTAATCGCGGTTAGGTGATTGCTTTGATGTTGGACGTGTTGGAAGAAATGGCGATGCTATCGGAAGCGGTACAAACAAGTTCAAAAAGCAGGTAATCGTAAACGAAAAGCGCATTTCCACATTAACAGTCTTTGTCCGAAAAAATTAGTTACTTCGGCCAAATTCGTTTTCAGCAATTTAACCAAAAAATCCGTCCACAAGAAAGTTAGCACTGCGCATGCAGAACCTATTCTTTGGCATGCCATTTCAAGTTGATTTTATAAGAATCATCTTAGCGTATAGAATTTATAAATACAAAAATCTGATACAACTGAATAGGTACTGAACGATAATCGAGTACCTATACTTCATGCATCCATTAATTTTGCAACACACCTTCTTAAGGGGTTGATTCTGTCCCCTCAGATCAGCATAGCGTGTAAAACAAATTTTTTAATTTGGTATTAGTTTTACGTTTATTCGAGGTGCGTATATAGTCTCTTAACAAATAAAAAAATTGGATTGCGCAAATGCCAAAGCTTGGTTGCGCAAATTTTTTCGTTCGTCTGCATAGCTGCTCGAGGTTTAAGGGATATGCAGTTGAAAAACAATAGCAATAGCGTACAAATGAAAAAGACAAACTGAATTTTGATTTTATTTTACCGTACTCACTATACCTACCGTCACTAAACAAGTTAAAAATCACATGTTATTGAACAAATTTGTCCTATCTTCAAATACCTTGTTGGAAATAAAATCGATATTTATTGAACTACGTAGGTACAACTTTATAAGAAGGAGCCCGAATTGGCTAAAATTTTCTCTCTAATGGCCCTGAAAGTGAAAAGATTTTGGAAACGATTAGAAAATGGGAAATGTCCTTTTAGCTATATTTATTTAACAAGGTATGAGCAACAAAATTTTGATTGAGAGAAGGTCGTGGAAATTATAGGTTACTTCTAATATTAATTAGTTTGACGAAGATAGCACGTACCCATTGAGATGAATGTGTGATTGGTGAGGTTCCAACCGCCCAACAGGCGTTTCAACCATCAATAATTATGATTCTGCATATGAGCGTTCCGGAATCTTTTCATTCTCTTTAACAATTATGTCAGGTAGAAACATCAACGCTCAGATGTTAAGACTACTGAACGATAGTGCTCAAGGACTAAAACACTGTGAACAGGTCATATCTGAAAAGATGTCCCTTACACCGATATTTCACTAGCATTGTTACACCCACTCGTTTACAGATTTCACTCTGGGGATAAACAGGTAATCAGCAGATAGAGTGAAAGATTAGTTAATGCCTATTGTAGAATATGTCTCTTCCAGTACTTACCAGTATCATGTCATTTAATATTTCCAGATTTCTGACGGCACAGGGAGAGGAACTAAATGACTAGTGGACAATTATAGGTAATGTAGTAGAAGATGTTATTCTGGCAACTTTAAGGGTATAATTACGACAGCGCTCAGGATTTCCCTATGGATTGCGGTGTGTTAAAAGTAGATACCTATTTGTCTAGGTATACCATAAGTAGATTTGACATGTCAATAAGTACCTACATAAAGGTAATAGATTAATCCAGTAAGATAGAGGTTTTACCAATTACCAATTACCAACAGTTTATTAAATGTTTGAAACTGTCCGACGTCTATCTGTTCCATCGAGATCTCGGCTCCTGGGCTTCTCGAGATTTCGCTAATTGATAGCTGCTATGGTCTATATTTGCCCCTTACGCATTATTTATACAGTTGCGCTAGCCGGCAACACCCACTAGTACTTTTTTTTTAAACATTTTTATAAATGGTTCTGTTATTTGAACCCTTACTACTAAAAATATTCCTTTTCTGTATCTTAGTGTCGTCGCCAAATTGCGACAAACACAAAGAGGAAAGCTAAGCCACAGAATATCAGGTACCCATTATTTATGATTAAACATTTTACATTCAGGAAGCCAGCAGAATAAGGTTCCGCAAAGATCCTGTTACTAGTGGTAGGGTATACAAAGATCTCGAAAAACGTAATAAACCAAAAGTAAGACCAAAAGTCATAAGCACCTATTAAGAATTTAAAGCATATCAAAGTATATTAGATTTTCAACAAGAAATTCAAACGAAAAATGGTTAATTTCAAATTAAGAAGAGTTAGTGGTAGGTATAGGTCGTCACTACTACTTTGTGTGTCATTTAGTTTATTCGAATTCGTGCACTTTACTATGCAATCTCATAATTCTGTGCATTCCAACTTTCTATATACGATAGTGAGATGCTGGTACAGATTGGACTACTGAAGGTGGTAACAAAATAATGATCAAATCTCTCTTAAGAGTAAAAGTAGTCGATGGTAAATTTTCCACTTGGCAAAGCTTTGCATGAGACCCCCATACGAAGTTAGTAATTTTTCGAGGATATCCTAAACCTTTCGTTTGTTTGTATATTTTGCCCGAGTTCCTATGCCCGTTTTCTGAGCAGCACAAGTCTACAGAGGTATGTAAACCATTAGGTATATCAAATGTAGTGATGAAAAAGTGAAACCTGA